TAATCAAATATACAACTTGCACTGTTTAAATATACAAAGACATTTTTAGAAAGTAAAATTGATTTATTTGTACACATATATGTGTGATATCCGTACAAAAAATTCGCAAGCTTAATTTTTAATTTTGTTTTAAGTTAATCCTATTTCGGCGAAAAGAAAGGCTTTTATTCATTAAAATTATAGAACTTTATTGAATACTTCAAATACATTTTTATGCTGTTTTTGTACACGAAAGAAATTCAGACGGAATAGAATTAGCGTGAAAAAAATTTTAATGTACAATTACTAAATGTTCTTTGAAATAGACACATATTTTTCTTAATTGGCATGCAGCTGTTGAAAGAGCACAACGAAAACAAGTTCAAAAAAACTTAAATATGTCATTCATATTTAATCGTATCATAAATCAAGTAATTATTAATTAATCGTAAAAAAATTCCTGATGAGCGCTGGATGGCAGTCCGGGCACACATCTTTGCTGTGCCAACGCAACGCGCATCTCTTTTATGTATATAATATTGTAATTCTAATTAATCCTTTAGATAAAATAGCTAAAAGCGTGCTACGTTAAGCGAAGGTAACATATAACATTCATCTTCATCGCTGATTAAAGTAATATTTATTTATCATCAATTAAAACGAATGTTTCGGATAAACGTTATTCATTTTCAAGGATACATATTACATAGATACTCTTTATTTATAAACAATTTTGACTGATATATTCCAAGAGCAATATCATTTATTTTTAAATCGATTTCATTCATTAAAAATCATGTAAAAAAGGAATCTAAAATCTGCATAATAATCATTTCGATCTTTTCAATAAGTGTAAGCATTTCTAGAGAATTATACTCGTGTAATAGATAATTTAACATCTTTCTCTCTTTTTATAATTTTTTTTATTCTCAGCATCTTAAATATCTTGTTATTATTGTCATTTCTAATTTTTCTTTTTCTAAAAATTTCTCTTATATTATCGAACTACATTACTTGAATTAAAAAACCTTGTTTTAATCGCGAGTTTTTAAATATTTCATAACTTCTATTTCAATATATATTTAAAGCATTTCTTTATTTCTGTCATAAAGATATATATTCCATAAATTCAAATATTACAATAAACAATTGTCTAACTTAAAATATAATAATTTTGATAATTTTAAAGTATTTTCCAGTTTTCTCTTTATTAATAAGCAGATAATAATGATTTTGAATATAGCAATATTAGGCAAAATAATATTCTCAAAAGAATTGTCTCTCTCCCAAGAAACTATTTCTCCTAAATTTCCTTTTCTAATTTAATAATTTTTATCTGAAATATTAATTGATGATATGTAAAGATATCTGTGAACATCCCGAAGTTGAGGCACAGAAACGAGTCAATGGATAATTTTATGGCCGATTGAAAAATTTTGTAGATATAATTCCTCTTTGCACACACCTTCACATACATCTTTCTAAAGCTAATAACGCGTTAATATAATTGTATGTAATTTCTATATAAATTGTCATGATTACAACACGGCACAACCATACAACGTATAGTATATCAAGTTTGTCACTGTACGCAAAATAATGACACATTTAACATTGTACCTACCCCAAATTGCGTGCGTAGTATGCAAATTAATAACGTAATTTGCGTACTACGCATACTTAATACTAGTACTTTGTACAATAATACTCGTCTTTTAGGAGAACGATTATGATTAAAGAGAGCTTCGTTTCAACGTACTGAATGTCAACGTTATTTTAACGATTACTCTAATATTTCACGGACGGGAATTATTTTTATTACTTTCCATTCTACAGTAAGTCTATTCGATCTTCCCTTCCCGTTTCCTTCCTTTTTTTACAAATTTGTATTTGTATTTTTTAATGCGCCGACCCTTCCTCCCCTACTAGCGAACCGGAGCTATCGACAGCTCCATTTATTGTAAGTTTCGAAAGACTTGTACAATATGAATAATCAATAATAAATCAATAATAGAAGCTTCGTGGTCCAAAATCAAAATAAATTGAAGTTGGAAATTATTTAGCTGTACCAGTACGAATTATAGATGTAATAAATTGACATTTCAGCTTTAAAAATAAGATTTCGTCGAAGGTGAAACTCAAGAATAAAGACGAACTAATTCTACAAACAATTATAAAAATATTTAAAATTTCAATTCTACATTTTTAATCCTACATATAACATACTTTGAATTATTAAATCTTTTCTAGTTTGGCAAACGCTAAATAAACTAAAGGAAGATAGTATTATCATCCTATGAGTCTTTGAACTAAGTAACGAGGAGGCAGACAACTGGCCAAGGCAGGGATGATGGAAAAATCCATTTGACCGTATTGTTATTCCTTTCACTTTCAAAGATGAGAAGGTTAAGAGATATTTGGAGAAAGAATACCTGGCTAGATGGAAGATTTGTGACGGAGATGAAATCGGGTACAAAAGTTGGACACAATATTATATCCACGTGGATTAAATTAGCTAACAGGAATTGTGCGAATGGGATAATAATGCACGTTTCTGTACGATGTTACATAAGATTATATTTTGCAACTTTCTTCTCTGCGGTGTTCTTTTAACGGGCCAGACTCATTAAAACGTGACAAAATGTTCATTCGTCATAATGATGCATCATTCGATTCTTCTTTTGTTTTCTTTTTTAGCTTCCCAATTTGTTTCTTCTCTTTACGATGATCAATCAGTGTTTAATCGTGTTTGCCATCCATTTCAGACAGTCTCTCAAATATACCGATCGAAAGAAGCGCGTATACGTAAACGTTGTCGCAAAATCTACACTACTCACGATGGCGAACTAATAATCTTTCTTTCACTCATGCATTTCTCTCTCTCTCTCTCTCTCTCTCTCTTTCTCACACACGCACACATTTTGAAAACAACACATATATACTCTTTTCAAATTCATCCTCTCATCTTCTCGTAGCCATATAAAAAAAGCGCTCGGCTAGTGTAAATGGAAAATGAAAACAGGATTAATACAATTCCTCCCGGTTATCGCGAGTAGGAGCGCGACGAATATTGTGCAAAGTAATACAATTGCGACGTTGATTAAAAAAGTCATATCAAGGAATCTTCTCTTCATGTTCATTTATGATTATTTTCATTCTGTAACAATATAATATAATATATCGACTTTGAGATATTTTGAAAAATGATTTCAAAAAATGTTAAATCTCTTCCTTCGTGTGTATATATCCTGAATTGAAAAAAAAATAGAGTCTAGAGGAATCATCGAACAGATCATAAAGAAATGTAAAATAAATTAATTATTCGTAAATTAATATATAATTAATATATAATTAATTAATATATAATTAATTAATATATAATTAATATTTTTCAAATTGTGTTTAATATGTTTTTAATGCAACAGGCAATTTCGTTATCCTGCACAACATCCCTTCGCTATAAGTGTAAAATACACACTACATGTACACATACATGTACATGTATATATGTGTATATATACGTACGTATATAATGAATGAAATTATAAACTAACATTTTGTTTAATAATTAATAATATTAATAACATTAAAAGTAACTAATCCGTATTTTTATGATAATTACATATAACGAAATGTTCGCAGCGTCTATTTATTTGTTATATTTCGTACACACATACACATATATGTATATACATATACGTGTGTTGTGTGTGTGTATGTGTTTGTGTGTGTGTCTGTGTGCGTGTGTATGTGCATATATGTGAGGTGTATATAATGTACACATACATACACACATTTATGATGCGAGCTTACACTTGTATAATTGTTTTGTAAAGTATTTACAATTGCAGAAGGGTATGATTATTTTGTAGGCACTATGGCTTTGGACGTACACTAAGTTGTACGTTAGGGTACATCCTTGAGGGACTTCCAGACAATTTTTTTCAGTGTATCCTTGAGATCTCGAGGAACAAGAAGAGGTATCTCTACACGAATCTCGCTCAATAAAACAATTCCAGCACCGCGTTACTCGACAGTATTAAAGTGTTCACCGGCAAGAAACTATCTTTAAAAAAAAAAATCCCGTCATCAAGTTCAGAACAGTACTACGTCTTAAATCTTAGGATCTTAGACAATATGATCGTTGCGAATTGGAATTAAATACGCATTTAAATATAGTCTAAGATCTTTCATTCATTTTTTCACCACTGTACATGTGTACGTTTTGACTTTATTTACGTTCATCTTCGTGAAATTCAATAAAAAGTTGATCAAAGCGTATGACTCCTATAATCGGTTAATAATATAATTATTGTTATAAAACGATTACTATTCATCGTTTAATTTTCCCTTCCACTGAATAACGAGAAATAAAATAATATATTCAAAACGGAAAACATTTATTTATCTTGATTTGCCATTCGATCGGTTGGAGTTACAAAAGCACGCGAAATCAGACTATTATATTGTCGAACGATTTATTAACAAGGCAACATGTAACCGTTAAAAAAAAACATAACGTCCGAAGAAAGGACGACGGACTCTAGGTCGCATATAATTAAAAAAAAAATCATCCGAGTCTCAATAATATGCACACAGTCATTTTTCGCGCGCACGAAGTAATCCTCGCAATCTCGTCTTTCTCCCTCTTCCTTTCTTCATTAAACAAGACTTTATATCAGAAAGAATTCGATGATTTTAACCGCCTTATTCATTTTACAATTGGACAACTACGAAAAGTAATTAGATCGTTGTCCGACACGAGTACAGTCTGTCCTCTCTCTGAATTCCCAAATACATTCTCTCTCCTATCTCTTAGCACAATTTACAATATTATTACAGATTGCACGAAAAAGCGCCTTCGCTTTTCAATTTTTTTCTTCTTCCTTTCTCTCTCATATGCGCACGCGCGCGCGCACGCACGCACGCACGCACACACACACACACACACACACACACACGCACGCACGCACGCACGCACGCACACGCACAAAACACGCGCGCGCGCGCACATACATACATACGTTTACACACACTCTTCCTCTTTTTCATTTCTCTTCTGTCTCTTTGTCTAATATTTTTGCAATCCATTCCGCAAACGTGATCAACGCAGACCATTTCAAGCCGGAAGCACACATTAACAATATTGTGATATGTTTATCCTGTGCCTCGGCGGTTCGGCTCTTTCACACTGAGAGTTTATGGTCCGCAATAAGAAATTAAAATAGTATAACCACGAAATATTTCAGAATGAAACATGAGTACAAAAAAGACGTAAAATATTAAAATATTTTAGTGCCGACAGATCAATAACATTCCTTTATAGTTTTTATGTGGAGCATACAATAACAGACGGTGTAAAAAATCCTGTTACCGAAAAATATAATTCCATGTGATATATCTTTGATTTCAACAGGATACAATTTATGAAATTGCCTATGCATGCCTCGACTATTTTGTTGCTATTCTTTTAAGCCTTCTTGTACTTTTAAGTACAAAAAAAGTACGGAAAGTAAATTCCAGATATAAAATGGTGTGCTTGAAGAAACAATAAATAAATAAAAATGTCTGTATGTTTGCAATTTTTCGCGAAGATCGACGCGCGGAACGAAACTGCCAACTATCATCACTATGTAACGCGAAGGCGCATTGTAAAACTGACGAAACAGTTCCATTTGTTTGAGTAACAACCCAAAAAGACACGAACGCCCGTGCAATAAGCGATGATATTCCTAGAATTTAAAATCGAAAAGATCCGAAAGACCTTCCTCGGTGCCTAACGAGAACGAGTAGTCGTTTTCGGAGAGAGGTGGTTCCAAAGTCAGTAGTTGTTCTCCAAAATCGAGAATACTCAGATCTGCAACAAAAGTAAGAGGAATGACGAACTTGCTATATCAAATCCAGCATTATTTATATTAGATCGTTTGCAAATAATTATTTAAGAGAATAATTCTGAAAGCTTTTAATATACACACACACACACATACACACACACACACACACAAAGATTCAATATTTAAATATGACATTCTTGTATAATTTTTAAATGAATCACGTATCAGAAAAAGACGAGTTCCTAATTATATTATTAAGAATTATATGTCAGTAATGTAGAATATATAATTTATTTATATATATAGTTTATATATATAATTTTCTTGTAATGCACCATATAAGTACTTTATTTAATTTAAAAAGTTCGCAATCAGTTACAAAGCGGTTAAAGAGTACAATTACTGCATATTGTTAGTTTCAACAATGTTTCTAATAGATCGTTTAATTATCTAAGAAAATTGGTATTTGTGGAATCAAAATAAAGTAGTGCTGCAAAATTCGAGTCGATCATATTGATTTCCAAATTACATATATGTTTCCTTTGAAGAATTTTCAGAGATAGTTATAATGAAAAAATTTTTTGTATGAAAAGTGTATCTTGCATCCATGTATCATGTGATAATATTAACGTAACAACATCGTATAAAACATAATAGAAGCCAATGTAGTTAGTATAGATGAACGTACCTTTGCACGACACGAGCTTTGCTGTTTGAAACCGTTACCTAACTAGAACTCTGCCTGTGATGTGATTTTGATAATTTCAACACACAAGTCACAGCCAGAGCTCCATCAGGGTACGGTCATCATCCATTGGTGAAAAGGCAGTGAAATATTCAAAAGAAAGGTAATATGCTTTTAAGTTATATGTAAATATTCAACCTCTACCTTTCTTTTGAATAATATTTGTGTCCACAAGTGATTATTAAATTGTAATACATGCAACACGTTCTTTTCAAAATATATAATTAAAACGTTCTTTTCAAATGAGGATGTAATATAAAATTTTGCAAGACAATTATTTCATACACTAATATCTATTTTGCAAAAACTTTCGCTATGAAAAGAACGCTTAAGTCGGAATTTAGTAAGATAGAGACAAAAAAAAGATTAAAAATATTTTATTTAAAAAAAAGATACAATTATGTATGTACAAGGCATAAAGCATTAAACTAAATGAAGCGTTAGAAACTTTGCAGAAATAAAATACAGTTTACAAGTAAGAATTAAATGAAAAAGAAACGTACAGATACGCAACAATATACAGCAATGTATATTAAAATATCAACAGAAATATTGAATTATAAATACGAAAAGCGAGAAATAAAGATCTTTTTTTCTCGTATTATATTATATTGAAATAAAGTATTGGAAACTTCTTTCTCTGTTATTCTGCATTAATAAACGCATGTATAATTTATATCTCAAATTTCTTGTGAAAACAATATATATGATAAAAAGCTATTTATTAATCGAGAAATCGAGAAATCTTTAACATATTCTATCAATCAAAAATGCAAAGAACATATTAAAAAAGTAATTTATTTTAACGCATAGTGCAAAGAGAATTTCTCGCTCAATTTATGACACCATAATTCAATATAATTACGTAAGAAAATAGAATATCAGTTGTGAATTCTATGAGCGTTGCATAAATATTGATATTTCTGTCGAACTGATATTTAATATTAGAAATGTATATATTTGAAATAAAAAGAAATAAAATATTACATATTTACAAAATAACACATTAGATTTTGCGACAAAATATATTGATATATTCAATAATAGAATTATATGAAAAATTTTTTTAATTTTTTATTTCTGTAATTTCATTTTTATTTGTTTTATTACGTATTTAAATTTCTTAATGATATATTTAAACTGATATAACGTATTTAAATATGCATTTCAATTTATAATTTAATAATATTATCAATAATGTTACACGATATGATAATATTCCGGATTTTTAAAATATATAATTATAAATGATAGAAAAAACTTAATTTATAAAATTAAGAATGAGACAAATAATTTCCTCGTGTAAATAAAATAAATACTAAATATAAATTGTTCTACAAGATTATAGGTAAAGATAAACAAAGGATATTAATAATTTATTGAAAATAGCTCAAAAAATAAATATTTTTCCCTACTTATTTTCCTTCACAATTTCAGAATTTTTATTATTTATAAATCGAGCATTAATATAAAATGTGAAAGAAGCTTTTTCAAGAAAGAAAGAAAGCAAACTAAACAAGCATTATTTCTCTCTAATCTTACCTGAGCTGATTTGGTCCTCTGTTTGGAGTTGGAATTTGCCACCGCCCATTGGTCCATAATCATCGGATTCGCATAAGAATGCATCCTTCATGCTTGTTATACTGGTAACTGTAGTTACGGGGGTACACAGACGAGTATTTATGAAACTCTCATCGGAAGGTACTGGCTCGATTCGTATGTCGCTTTCTCGATTAGCCAACAATTCAGGAGGCAAACAAGGTATATCGGATTCTTTTGATTGAGGCACAGATTGCGTTGTCGCATACCCAGGATAAGATGTTTTGACTGTGGAATCTTCAGGACACAGAAACACATCTATCTCGCCGTGTTCCGATCTCATGTGCATTTGAAGCTAAAAACATTAATACAAGTGAAATATAAAACACATAATAAATATATATATATATATTTTTTTTTATCAAATATAAAATATTTTTCTCTAGACGTTGGAGAGCAATTGAAATGCAAATGATACATATAAAATATCAAACTTTATGGATATTTTACCTTTTGTTGACCAAAGTTATTGATTGGTTGTGGGACATGGAGGGTAGCTTCCGGCGGGGCTTTCACAGCCATAATAACTTGGTCTTTGTACATTGAGACTGAACGTAAATCATGATACGTCACATAAGCGTATTGTCTATCCGCGCAGAGCTCGCGAAGATTTTTATCAGCACCGTGAATCAATCGATCCAAAGTGTTTTCCTTAGCTTCCAAATCCGCGACCTCCCATCTGAGATTAGCGATATCGTTCCGATTGTTCGGTAACTGACCGCCTCTGTAACAAGCAATTAGTTTCGAATATAATCTCCGTTATATATATAGATATGGATGGTAAAGTGTAAGAGAGATGTACATGTATCTTAGCAGATAACTTACTTCCACTGGATATTGTTTTTACTTTTCTTCTCTAAAATACCAATGCCCTCTAAAACATTAGTAATATCGTATATACGACGTTTTTGTACCTCCAGCTTTTCTGACGCTACATTTAAGTCCACCACACCATCCTGACTGCTTTCAACTAAGTGAATAAATTTTTTTGTGAGCAAACTCAAAGATGTGTCATACCGTGTCCTTTCTACAGTTTTACCTGCAATGAAATAAACGATTCCTTTCTTGAATAACATGCAAAAAAATAAGAGAAAGATTATAAAGCAGAAGAGACATTTACTTTTGGTGGGTGTATGACCAGCTAAAGAATTCGAGCCAGATCTTCTACGTTTACCTCTGGGTGTTTTGAAGGCAGATTGGCTGGGACCAGTTGTCCCTACCTCCAAATTCAGTCTTCTTTTTACCGCTTGAACTGATATCTGCCAAAAAGAAAAGGAAATTGTAACTTGATTAGACAAGTGCCAATTAAATACCTTTGCGTAAATCAACATAGATATTTTAATATGTCAAATTACTATAAAAAAATCTGAGATACTATAGAAATTTTACCTCAGTATCAATTTATCATCATCACTCATCAATCATTTTACCTCAGCTCTTGGTGGTGGTTGTGTGGGTTTTCTCGTTATTTGGTAACAAGGCGTTTGTCCGTATTGGTGATCCTGTAAATGAGGGCTTGGTGTTTCTTCTGCCACTTTTGGAGGTTGAATTTCGTCCAAAGAACCATCATCCAGAAACTCAGACTTTACTGTAGAAAGATTTTATTCGAGTGAGCTTAACAGTGACAAAATAATATAAGATTTGTAATATTTTTCCTGCAAGTGACTTACACAACTTTGTTTCCACCATGTCTGGAGTAACTGGCCTGGCTGGATCCTCCAGGATCACTTGTCTCCTTACCCGAGGCATCCTGGTAACGTGATTGTGTCTGAAATAATTATACATACATAAAACTATACAACTGTTAAACTGTACGAAGCCACGCGCTAATTATTTACTTCCTAATAAATAATCATGCTGTCTGAAACGCCATAATATCAATCTTCCAAACATCTATAAAACTAAAAAAATAAAATTCAAAAGATACATATAACAAGCAGGAAACGATATACCGATGTAATATACCCTCAACGACGCGAGATGCAACAGATTGACGCGATTGGGCATTTCGACGAGATCACAGTAAGCTAATCCCGGTACGCGACAAGTTTCCTGCCGCACGATTCGCGCGATCGAAGCAACGAAACTCGCGGCCCCGCGGTCGTGTCGTTACACCGGTACGCGAACACGACCGGCCATTCGGCACACGAGGAAAGGATCGAGGAAATGACGGCGGCGCACGGACCTATTTCTAAGCACGCTCTGCATTTTCGGCCGTTAACCGCTGCTGCTCGCCGCGCGCGCGTGTGACTCGGCGCGTTACACGTGCGATTGCGGCGGTGAGTGTCATTTTTAAATCCCAAGGTTTTTCAGTTCTCGCATGAGAAGAGGGGACAAAAAAAAAAGACACGGCGCGTCGACGATGGATGGGTGACCTGTCCGCACACCGCGCGTGTAAAAGTCGTGCGTTGTATATACACACGCGCGCGCGCGCGCGATACACCACATAACGGAAATAATAAGGGCGACGCGAGCACCGCAGTCAGGCAATGCTACGTGTGCGATATTAGCATCTCTCTCTTTCTCTCTCTGTCTTTGACGGAAGGCGCGATCGGATTGCGCGGCTTTAGGTCGGACGCACACGAGACTCGAGTCCAATGAAAGTGGCTGCGAGGAGCAAGGAACGATGGTGTTGAAGAAAATTCGATTCTCGCTCGCGTTCCGAAGAGAAACGCGACAAAGAACGAAATAACTCCGTTAAATGTACATGGAACTTGAAAAGCGAGGAGAGGATTCAATAAAATAGAACTGGAGGAACTAATAAATGAAATTGAACTTGAAGAAATCCGACTTACACGTATGTATCAAATTTCGAGAGCGAAAGGAGAAATTGAATAGAAATGAAACTGAGCATATCAGTAGAAAGAAAAGAAGAGAAGAAAAGTCTTATCTTATTTGGATATTTAAATGTGAGATAAATGTATAATAAAATCACACGTGTTTTTATCTGTTTATAGCGTCGAAAAACTTGTCGGAATTATCGATTCCAAGGTTTTATTCTCGAAAAATATCGCAAGTGAAAATACTAGGAAATCTATAAAACACGTATATTATAGTACATTCTTGTATGCGATATTTTCGAGAATACAATCTCTGATCCCGGATTATTTCTCAGTGTTCAGAATATCAGCTGATCGCTCGTCGTTATCTTTTAAAAGACACAAAAGAATTGTCTCATCATTATTCAAGTATTTTATTGATAAGTCCAAAGTCGTATAATCGTCGATAATAAGATTCGATGTCTTCAATTCCTGCCAGCTATGCAATTATTTTTTGCCTGTCTAAAAATAAGAAAGATTCGCGCGCATTTACTTTACGATGGTAGAGATATAGCGAATTCGATTGGACGCACTAGTGTATATTAAAGTCATCGTATACTAATTTAATCTGGATAAAAGTCAAATGCAAATATTTCGAGTTATAAAATACCGATTTTAATTAATAGCACAATAAAATGTGGTTTAATTTATATTAAATTGAATACACATTTTTGCGTCAATTTGTGGACGACAGCTTTAATGTGCACCAATGCAAACTGAGTGAATCCAATCGAATTCGCCAACCGATCCAGATACAGATAACTTGGAAGATTGAAGTAGAAATGTTGATGCGAAATAGTACTTTTTCCGTGCTTACAGATTAGTTTGTCGTATGTCAACTGAAGCCGACCACACGTGACGCCGTTTATATCCATCAGAAGCTATAAATAAGAAGATTACATTCTCGAAAGTCATTTCTCGCGTAAGTACGTTTGCGTCAGTATAAACATCACGTAAATGTCGCATCGGTACATCTTGCAAAATGCAATGTTCGTCTACGCAAGTTGGAACATGATAAAGATACGTGTGATTTTAATATTAAGATTAATACCAGTTTCTTCACTTGGTCACAACAATCACAACATATAATTTGGCATAGACTTTAGATTCGTTTATCTGCACTGAATCTGCACCGAACAAATATATCGTAGTCACGTGTACGACTCTTTACTGAATACAAATAAGTATGTTTGCTTCTCTTTCTAACAACAGCGATTCTCAAGCCACATTTCCAGCAAACTCGACTGCGCGATATTCATTAAGCACAATAAGCATAATTGTGCTGCTTATATTCTTCTTCATCAATAATTGTTATATAATCAAGAGAACTGAACTCGATGAATTTGGAAAATGTAATAAATATGAGACTCAATACATTACATAAATAATTCTTTGCTCCTGTTAGTTATTCTGCGGAAGAAATAAAAAATTAATTTCTAAGAAAATATTTCTTATTCTTATATCGAATTCGAGAAGAAAGTGTAAATTATTATTTTTATTTGCATATTTTATATTTTATTATTTAATTGTTACATTTAATCAAAATATTATCAAAGAAAAGATATGGAGATATCTAAAAGTAATGAAATGTATATAAAAGAAGCAAGTTGAGAGTATTATATTGCAAGATGATTTAAATCGAATAAGCTAACTTAAGGGCTCCATGTAGCAAACGCTTGGTATGCGTCTGAACACTCCGAACGGACCCATGGTGAGCTCGGCCCGGGGAATTTTAGAAAAAAAGAACAAGCATTCCGAGACAAGCTGATCGTTCCGGGTGTGATTTAAAGAGATAGTGCTCGCGTCTCTCGAAAATATCCCTTCATCCTGTGCTTGTGATTTATTCAAAGCGATTACAGAAAATTTTGATAATGTTTTGGAGTAAATAAATCAATACAAATTAATTGTTTAATCTGTTTCTCTTCGGATAGATCGATTAAGCTTTCGATGTGATGTTCTATTTTATTATTTATATAATTTTATATAAATACTAGATAACTTTGATAAAAAATGTTGAACTATATAAAACTTTTTTTAAAAATCATTCAACAACTTTATATAAGGATGTTGATTCAATTTCGTTAGCAAACAGATAAATTGAGAGAAAAAATTTAGAATCGATGTTAGCGTCGATAAAAGTTGGAGCAACTCCAGTTCGAGTCTTCTGCCGGATACACAATCAATTACTAGCAAGAGCTACTAGGATTTCTCGAGACCAATAGCGTCACGATTTGTGCTTGGAAGGTTGGGAGCAATGTACGACGCGGAGTCATTGATTGGCCAGCGGTTATCTCGAAACCAAAGTACAAAGCATCGCACAGCACATCGGCAGCTGCATTCGATGTAAAAGTGATGTATCGATTAAAAAAACGATTGTTTTTTTAATCACGCAACAATATCATCGAACTATTTGTCCATACATTTTTATCTCGACGCGAAGGTTGAAATTTTTGCTTTCCTGTCCATTGATTGGTCGCTCACGGGGATGGCCCGTCAAGTCAACCTCGGCGTAGAGTTACGTTGACGAAAGTTGGTAGAATCGACAATGCGTTGCACCAACATCGATCTCGGAAACGTGTTCACGTTTAACAAAGAACACGACAAAGTCTACACGATTACTTACTCGAAGATTAAATACGAGGAGGTTAAAAGCTCGGAGGTTACTAATAGGCGCCGGCAGAGTAATTTCACGACTTTGCTCCGTATGTTCGCAACCGAGGACGATGTGGGCACTAACGCCGGGTCTCCAGTGCATCGAAGACAGGAAACGCCGCCGCCATCCACTACCACGACGGTGGCGGCGGCGGGCGTCCACGAGACGTGCGCTGTGGCTTGTACGAAAATGCAAACGAATGCGCAATGTGTCTCGTGTGCACGAGGCTTCAGGCGGCCAGATGTGACGAGACCGGCCCTCTCTATCTATCTATCTATCTCTCTCTCCCTCTCCGTTTCCCTGCCCCTTCATTTCGTTCTTCCGCTCGTAAAGGTCTTAGGTCGCGAGCTCTACAACACCAGCCTAGCTATCTCCCTTTAGGATGACTTCGACCAGATCTCGATTAATTTAATCAATGATTGATTCAACCGGCAGAATTGCTTACAGCACAATTTTCAATTATATTCCGCTGCTCCTGATCTAATTTTGTTCTACATGTTAACAACAAATTCTTTCTAATCAATTAAAGCTGTCCTTAATCTCCTTTTTCTTTAATCCTAGGGCTGCACACACGGGGACTCGTGATATCCAATGAAAATTGGAAGCCGCCAGCTTCTTGGGAATTTTTTGTTTCAATGTTTGTACTTGACGATTTAGCGACTTTAAGTTTACGGTTGACAAGCATAAATTTTGATTTTATAATTATTTGCAATTATTTTATCTTGAAAAAAGAAGTGTTGAGAAACATAGATACATTTGTTTTTTTTTTATTATTAAATTATGTGTTATAGATATATGGGAGTCTGAAAAACGCAAAATAATCCACGTCTACAAAAATGTATGCAGTCTTAGAATTAACTGACCAATTAAGTAAACAGTACAGCAGTAAGCTTTTGAATGTTGAAATAGAGCGATAGCACTCCAGATACGTTCTTTTTATTTCGAGTCTCTGGCTTCTCTTATCAAAACCTGGCGAGTGTGGTGCCACAGTTCTAGCCCGACATAGCGCGCAATCAGCTGTTAACATCGATCGAAGGCCACACGTTGCCGCCGGCGTTCTCGCGTCGTCGATTGTCAGAGAATTCTCGATTCCTTCTCGAAAGAGCGAGACCCCAGGAAAAGTGCTATCGTGCGATAACGACCAATGGCGCACGAGCGGAGGGAAGCGATGCCTTTCTATTGGTGGAATTGTCAAATATCGTGCGCCTCGATGATCATTTTCGCTGCACGTTTTTGAGAATTGAGGTCTGTCCGTTTCGTCTTTTTGCCGTTCGAGAAACATATTTAGGCGTCGAGAAAAAGTAAAAAATGAGGAAGGAAAAACCCGAGTGCAGAATGCAAGCAAATGTTAGGAGCCTCCGAGCTACCTTCATTCACGCGACCGATTGTTCGTTTTCCTCTTCGCGCCACCCTTACGTCAATTGAGAATTCTGCGTTCGCGGAATCTCGAGGGACTCGATCTCGTGCCGTGTCGCTGGTAAATAATGAGAATCGAAGTCACGGCCTCGTGCACATCGACGCGCTCGCCCACTCCTTTACGTACGCACGATACGCACGCACGCACGCACGCACATACAAGCCGGTTCGACGCGTCACCGGTGAGAGATACGCGTGTTCGCACACGCGGACACGAGCACACGTATACATGAGTTACTTGCGTATACGTAAGACCGTCGTGTCGCGGCGAACTCGTTTAAAGAGCCGAGACGACACCACCGGTGTGTCCCTAGTAAGGTACATTACCCGGCACGTCATGTAAGGGAGCGATCAGCCGCTGCTCTGGAGACATTTCCCCGAAGATGCTCTCTCGACGCATCCTGGCCGAATCGCGAAACTCGCGGCATTCTACCGGCGCGGCGAGGGCGGTAGGCGAATCGAGGAAGGGCAAACGTATAATCGACCCGGGTGCTGACCTGTTGGCGCGTAAAAACTGCGTTTCTCATTAGGAAGTCGTCGTCAACAGCCACCGTCGCTGATGACGACACGCGTCGCGATCTCGGGCGAGAAAGAGAGACGGAAGTAGCAAAAGTCGGCGCGATCGGCGCGAAGAGGTAATGCGGAGGTCCGTCCGCTCTCTCTCTCTCTCTCTCTCTCTCTCTCTCTCTCTCTCTCTGCTCTCGCCAGCGTAGCGTTTCCGTCCCTCCTCCTCTCACGGCTCGCTCCCGGTTTTTTGCTACTTACTTGGCTGCTCGCGAATGTGTGCGCTGCGCTGCGCCGCGCCGCACAGTATTTTGAGACGGAGACCCGCGCTCTCTTCCGGGAGAAGATTCAGCAGCAGGCCAGCACACGGCTCGCGGCGCGTGTGGCGCGTGTGGCGCGTGTCGCAGCCGTCGCAGGACGGTTGGAGCCGGGCATCCCCCAGTCCGGGTGGTCTCTTTCGATCCCGGTGATCCCGGTGATCCCGGCACTCGAGTTTCGAGAGGGATATGGCACAGAGGAACACCGTGGCTAACGGCAAAATCGTCCGCCGGACGGAACGAACGTGCGGGGCCTCCTCGAGGAGGAGGAGAACGACGACGACGACGACGACGACAGACGGAGACGGAGACGGAGCGAGCCCTTCCTCGTCGGCCTGTACCGCCTCGAGATGTATATCTCGGATTATCGCCCGTTCTCACCCTTTCCCTCCGTTCCCTCGACGTGGCTGTAATCGTTGCGGCTTTACATACTCTCGCCGTACTTTGCGCGATTTCTCTCTCTTACTCGGCCCTGGCATACGTCGCTCTTTTTCTTTCGAGGTCGCTCGTTTCTACGAGCGTGTTCGTGTTGCTGCTGCTTCTGCTGCTGCTGCTAGAGAACGGTGTCCATTTTCTGCGCGATTCGATCTGCCGCCACCACACCGCCACGATTACGCTACGCACAGGCGGGTCCAAGTAGGCAGCAGGTAGCCAGGCAAAGACGAACCAGGCGATTTCTCGCACGACGCGACGGAAGGGACGCTCGTCGTTCCAGAACAATACGCTGGATCGAGAACGTCACGGGTGTTTTTCACTGTCTGGAATACAGCGTGGCTCGAACCTTAGAGCGAGCCCCGCCTCGGCATGCTCGGCTCGGCTCGACTCGACTCAGGCCGACTAGGAGGCCGGCGAGGCGAGCAAGGAGAAACGAACCTTCTATCTCTCTTTCTCTTTTCCCTCTTTATACGTGTCTCGTTGCGTCGCGCGTGTACGTATGTACGTACGAGGCCGGCACGCCAAACAAGAAGATCCGGACGATCGGTCGGTTCGTTACTTCGCTCCTTCCTTCGACTGCTTCGACCAAATGTATGGACGGGGATCCCGGACTGCGGGCACCGTGGCGCGCTGGCACGACTGGCCGATTCGGGTAACGAGAAGCGGACAGAGTGTGCCGCGTGCGCCGGTGCTCGCGAGATGCCAAGAGAGGGAACGAGAGAGAGAGAGAACCAGCCGCGTGTCCGTGCGTATTCGCGAATGCTACGAGAGGGAGGGAGGGAGAGTCTCTCTCTCGCCTCGCGAGTCGCGAGGTGGTGTACTGGCTGTACCCTCCGCGCCACCAGCTCACAGCTGTGTGTCGGTGTCGGTGTATATGCTGCTGGTGTATGCGAGACCACACGTCGGCACCGTCGCGTCGCGTCGCGTCGCGTCGCCTCGCCCCGCGGAAAAGCGCGGCACGCATGCGTCGCAGGCCGTTAAACGTGCGTACGAGTCAACGAGCGCGAGAGAGACAGAGAGAAAGGGAAGAGGATGACGCTTCCGAATGTGTATGCGTGAACGAGTCGCGCTACGTTGGTGCCGGATAATATCGTGATGTTGGTGCACTCTCGTTGCATCTCTCGCGCGTGAAGCGTCCACGGAAGCTTACGACGTTCGACAGGTGACACTTTAAAGCGACCTGACGCGAGGCGTAGACTTACCGGAATTAGGGCAGCTAGCTCTCTCGAAGAAACTCAAACGTCCTCAGCAGCACGACACTCGTGACGATTGACGATTGAATTCGGGCAGGCTCGGACGGGCGGAAGGCACTTTTGCGGAGCGAGAAGATTCGGGACGCGTTCGTTGATCGTTCGCGTTTCACGCGATGACAACGCGTCGTTCCTCGCCGCCTTTCATAAGTGCGCGCGCTTCCGAGCGAACGGCGCGGCGGCACCCTCGCCGTAGCGGTAACGGCAATGGTCGATCTCTTCGTGTGCGTGTCGCACGGCGGCGTGTCGGCGTGTCGGTGTCGTCCGTGAGCCGGCGTACCGGCCATCTGCCGGTCGCACGCGACAGCTGAAATACGCGCGCCAAAACCGTCGTCGCTGGTCGCCACCAGCTTCGTTAGGCTTCGTGTCGCGTTCAGTCGCGTTCACCCGATATGACCGAGCCTCTTTCAGATGATATCACGACATTTGCACAACACGCGGATCCCAGCGAGCGAGCCTACTAATAAAATACCCTCTAACGAATGCGACGCGCGCGATAACCACTCGATAATGTCGACTGGCTATTATCGCGATTATGAACGCGTCCCATGCCGTTTCACGCGCGTCATCGCGTCATCGCGTCATCGCGTCATCGCGTTTCCTCGAGATTCTCGAGAATCCTCAGCTAGGAAAACCCGTCTCGGCCGACGATGAGCGTCGGCGATCGTTGCGCGCCTTCACCTGGTTTACCCGCCAAAACTTTTACTCCGGCTGCTCCACCACGGTCGAAGGATCGCCTGAGTCGAGTGACGAGAACGGCTATTTACTGCGGAATATCCTCGCAACCGCTCGTCTCCTCGTCTTCGATAACGACGTCGCGGCACCGGTTATCCACTTTCAGCACTCTCGCAAGCATTCCCGCGTTTCCGGAGCGCACTATTACCATACCGGTCCGCCATGCTCGGGGGTGTTGGCGAACAGAACAAAGTGAATGTCTTCTCGTTTTCCTTCTTTCTCTCCCTCTCCTCCCCCCCTCCTCCCTTTTTCCCGTCCCTTTCTCTCTCTGTAAACGCCGACGGATACCGGGTCCCTTTAATCCGGGCTTCCTCACGGCAGAGGATCCAGGGGGGACGGAGGGGCAACGCGTTATGGACACGACGTTACGCAGGCAGCACTCGCGAATTATGCAATTTAGTGACGTATTAATTTGACAACGATCGTGCAAGCGCTTACGTATACACACGCGCCTTCGACTGCCTTCGACTCGACGATCCTGCCGGGCAACTGATGCCCCTCGTTTCTTGCCTGTCTTACCCGAAACTCCGCCGTACGATCGTCCCTTCCTTCGCGAATGGAGGGGCATTCAGCTGCAGGGATGTAGCGGGACGGAAGGCGAGCAGGGCCCTCTCCCGACCCGAGAATGTCGAAAACTCTACGAGAAAATCGATGGACGACAGGAACAAAATTATCATTGGCAAAAAGTCGCACTTTTTTTTATTTCAATTTCATCACCGACGGTCCCTCTTATCACAATTCAGATTCCTCGATCGCCGTCTCGTATCAAGTATATATACAATACAATACAATACAATGCAATCGCGTCAAATAGATGCTACAGGATACTTTTCATTGGAAAACTGCAGTTTCGTACAAATAATGGATATTATATTTTTTAGACATTATTTTCTCAAAAGATGAGAATAGCTCGGTTCAATTTTTTTCAATTAGTTTATGTCACAATACACACTCTCATATGCATATAAAATAGAATATAATTCTATATAACTATTGGATGATTATACATAAATTTGAAACGTGTGTAATATCAAAGAAATAGCGTTAACACGATACTATACCTTTTTATAAATATCAATAGAAAGCTGTGACCTACATTTAAAATTAATCAATTTTTTTCATTTTACCGCTGATAGCTGAAACATACAATTGTACGTACAGTGTACGTGCGATAAACATTAATCGACAAATATATATATTATAAACATTAATATTATAAAACGTGTTAAAATGTTAGTTTAAATTGGTAAAAATGGGCTTTACTTTAATGATGCAGATTATTGTGTGTGTAATCAATTTACATGATACCAATGGTATCTTGTACATTTTTCTCGCTTTCCCGCATGATCATTGCGAGAGAAATGTGTAGTGAGAAAGCTAAAAGAGAACCATAATTTAAAGGCAACTGGAATAGAGGGACTCTATCGTATTGATTACATTTTGTAAATAACAATGTTAAATAAGTAAAAAAAAAATACATGTAACATCGATAACGATAAAAACTCGCACGCATTTCTTGATAACAAACGGCTAATCTCTTGGCTCTTTTTATTGCGTTTTGCCGAGAGTTCGGGACTAACTTAGTACACGCCTGAATCAAGTCGAGCCAAGAAGAAGGGGAGTTCGGTGCATTCTTCGTAACGTATTTATTTGAACCCTACGGGGCAAGTACAAAAGGATCGCTCCTATGTAGACCGTATGGGAGGTATACGGTTTCCTTTCTTGCCCTTCGGCTACTTTCCCCTACTTTTTCCATGCACCACCCGTTCAAGCTAAGTAATCCCCCCCCCATTTCCCCACTACTTTTTCGCTGTTGTTAGAGCATTACCAGAAAATTGTGCAGCAAAATATCGTTGAGGTATGTGTGCAGTGCGATCGACGGGCGAGGGTAATATCATATATCGACGATCACGAAGATTTCGGGCCGCTCCACCCGCGGGCGATCGTTGATCTGCATTGCTGAATATGTGATGGCCTTTACCTCTGCACCTTGCGTGTGTTTGCCAATTGTGAACTCCTCGCCGTACGCGGTTGCCTTGATTTTAAATCCTTCTCGGTCGAATTCGGTAATCTTGACTTTCTGGTGACAGACGTGCGGAGAGATTTTCACCTTTGGCTTTGGATGTGGACGCGGTAAGTTTCACGACCTTCGCGGTCCAACCGAAAGGACTATTCGATGATAATTTCAAATTCGTGCAAATAAAACATGTCATAATTGTATGAATTAATTAATACATAGTAATATTACTTATAAATCCAAACAAAGAATAAAATATTAAGGAATTATTTTTAATACGTAAGTAATAGTAAAGAGAGTCTTAAATATTTCATATAGAATACAAAATTCATATACGAATCATACAATTATATTTCTGTGACATTATATGTAAACCTATACCTAAACGTATTATCAAAAGTTGGATGGTACTGTTATTGCTGTAACGGTAAATTATCTAGCAAGAGAGAGAGAGTATCTATGTTGACAAAGAAATGTTGCAACAAAGAAATTATACCTTGGCGACTATATACGGCTCAGCACTAAACATGAAGAGCAGCTCGTCAAGAAAATGGAAGAGTAAACTCTCCATGTCGTCACCTTCGGCCTCGATGTGATGCACCTGTGTGACCTGCACGCGCTCGAGATCCGTCATGTAGCCGAACATGGCCATCGCGCATTGCTCGAAAGCCTCGTCCATGGTATCGCCCCATGCATGCAATCTGAAAATATAATCGGTAATTTACACATTGCCGAATCAATCTCCATCACAAATAAGCTTTTAAACGTCTATCGATTTCCACATAATTGCGCGCGCGCTTTTTTAGGTTAGCCGGCGAAGTAACCTTCAAAATTAATCGGTCAACCGCTACAACTGAATGCAATACTTACTGTACATCCGCGGTGTGATCCAAATCTGTAACAGAAAACATGAATTTTTTTCGTGATTATTTTTAAAACTGTGGCTGCGAGGTATTTGCGTCATATTACGGAAGCTTTGCATCAGTCGCGATTACGAGGTTAGAATTTGTCGCGTGCGAAGACGCGTCAAAGTACATGGCGACAAATGAAATATTTTCGTTTGAGAAAAGAGCGAAAGAAACGATAATGTTAAGAAAAAAACCCACGTTGATACTCACATTCGTATTTAGCGGGCGGTATTTCGAGATCTTCGCTCGCCAGCTCGTCCATGTCCATGTTGCGCACAGCTGATTCTCTTCCACGTAATGCGAGGCGATCAGCTGATTCACTGACGGGTTCAATCAACGACAACGTAGTTCACGTAGGTGAGTTCACGCCGACCAGATGGCGCTACTTACAAGCGAACTTAAGCGCTTAACGGGCACATGGAGTAACACGTGGCTCCGTGTGAGAACGGTCGATTCATTTGGCAAATTCCGAATTTGATTCTAGTTTAAATAGCATGAAATACTCATGTGAATGACCATTTTTTGAAATATTTCAATAAAATATTTTTAAAATATTGTATAAATATTTGTAAGAAAAAAAATATATTTAAAAACTCTGACTTCCTGGAAAAAAAATATTTATATTATAAAAATATTTTATGAAGAAATGTTTCAATGAAATACTCTTGAAATACTTCTGAAATATTGTATGGGATAGAATTTAGATATATATCAATATATATTATAAATTCATAAAATGTAAATTAATATGATATGGAATATGGTAGGAAATGGAAAAGCGAAATAACAAAAGGAAAATATGAGAAAGAAGGTGACGAAATATTCGATCAGCCGACACAATAAATATTGTTATAGGTATATGTTATAGGCAGGGATAAAAATATATTCCAAAAGAGATAAAAGTTTATTTGTGTAAGATAAATTTTTATCTCACGTAAAAAAAGGAAAAAATTAAAAAGTAAACATTTATCGTATTATAATTATTTTTTTCTACTGTCATAGATGAAGTTTTTTTCCGTTTATTTTCCTTTACAATTGAGAAATATGAACCATCAGAAACATATATCAAGAAGATAATTTAATATGTATAAATGGTATACTACAATTACATAATTCTTATTAGAGATAATTTATCATCGCGGTGTATTTTTACATACAAACGGTGTATTTTTACAGGAAAGAGAGGTTATAAGTAGCACATTATCACGATAATTATCTTTAACGGTCACGCGGTCATATTCATTATTCTCTTTATACTCAAGTGACTGCAAGTTCAAGATAATAAATCGAATATCTTACATTATGACAAATAAAATGAAGGTAAGAGAATTTTAATTTTAATCACATACTTTATAGAAATACGTTGACATCACTTGAAGGAGAATTTCTGAATTCTTAATTCGCATGTCATACATTTTTAATTATTTGTATCGACTAACCTCGAAAATATTATAAGCAGTTAATTTTGAAAATCACTCGAAACAGATATCTGTGATATATTACATTATGTTGTTAAAATTGACGTATTATGGCAAGAACATTTTTTGCATAAATGATATATATATTACAAAATAACACTAAACTAATAAGTTTATCTTAGACTCCTTTAATTGAACAAATTTAGAAATATATAACATGTAGTACTAATTGATAACCAGCGTTGATTCCTATAACCTGTATTACACGTTATATATTTCTAAATTTGATATATAATATAATATATATAGTAATTAATATACAAGTACATGAAAATGTATATTAAAGTGTAATTCTAGTAAAAATATAATAAAAGTGTAATTCTAATCTAAATGTATATAGAATTATTATTGATATTTTTTATATTTTTTAGGTGGGAATAATATGTGGCTCGGGTCTGGGTGATAGCTTAAGTAAAACATTCAATTGCAGCAGTATCACAAATCGCGAGAATGCAAAGAATGATTTCGGATATCCGTCCAGTGATCTCTATCATGGATGCATTGATGGGGTAGATATAGTGCTATTAGCCAGGTAGAATTCTTTATAAATTTCTTAACTCTTATAACTATTTCTAAAGCCTACAATTTAGGCTTGTACTTTAATATTTTGCCTTTAACTACAAAAATAAATGTTTCTGTTTATTTAACAATGTTTGATTTATGTTTTGTTCATTAAAAATATTTTCTTGTCTTGATTCAATATAGACATGGTGCAGGACATGTGTTCAGTCCTACTGGAGTTAATTACCGTGCTAACATAGAAGCATTGCGACTTGCTGACTGTACCCATATATTGGCATCTACTGCATGTGGATCGTTAACAGAGTCTATTGGTAGGGGACAATTAGTCGTGCCTGATAGCTTCATAGATAGAACTATTTCCAGGAAGGGTACATTCTATGATGGAACGTCTATCAAGTATAACGGTAAATATATCATATATCTCTTTTTCTATAAGCATAATTTTTAAAATATGTTGCCTTCATTTAAAATTATAGGAGTATGCCATATGCCGATGGAGCCTGCATTTGATCCGCGAACATCGGAAATCTTATTGCAAGCAGCAAAAAAATTGGGATATAACATAAGGAAGGGTGGAACAGTAATAACTATTGAAGGACCGCGCTTTTCATCTAAAGCAGAAAGTAACGCTCTGCGTCTTTGGGGTGGACATTTAGTCAACATGACTATATGCCCAGAGGTTTAAATACTGCGATAAACTTATACAAATAAGATATATATATGTATATATATATATATCTTATAATGTTTATATTTTGGTCCGAATTAGGTAATCCTAGCGAAAGAAGCAGGTCTTTTATACGCAGCTATAGCTATGGCGACTGATTACGATTGCTGGAAAGAATGCGAAGATAATGTTCATGCAGCTGACGTATTAGTCGTGTTCAAACAAAATGTTCATAAAATAATAAATGTGTTACTAGAGGCAGTGAAACTTATTGGCTGTGGAAATTGGGAGCAGGATATTTTTAAATTGAAGGTAATATTCGTTATTAGGAATCATTTATGCATACAAATAATATGGAGATACTTTTTCTAAATACATATTAGCGAACAATGATAAGAGAAATAATTTTCAGAACTTAATTGAGAGCAGCAATGTGACTGTAAAGAAATAAAGTTTCTGTTTGCAAAGTGGAACGAAGCAATCATATCTATACATATAATTATAACTATATAGTATCTAATCTAAGATTAAATATATACAAGATTTTAATAAAAGCCTTTATAAAATTCTTATATATTCTACATAGGTACAAATCTTTATATTGTATGATAGGACTATTATACAAAAAACCAATTTATTTTACGATAACTTTTATAATCACTAATAAGTCTTTATAAAAACATTACATGAAATTAACTTTACCTTTCACATCCTATAAAACGTTTTATTAGGACATGTATTTTGTTGCATCATAATTAGATAGTATAAGCATTTAAGCGTAGAGTTGCAATTCCGTTTAATCTAATTACAAACGTATGCGTACATGATCAAAAAATTAAAGCAAAAAATTAAAGGAGTGATAAAAGGATTAGATTGGTATTATATAGTTGGAGATTTAGTAACGAGCGTATAAACAAAAGATGCTTGACAAGTAAACTTAATATTTATTATCTACACAATTACATTTACCTATACAATTCGTAAAAGTCAATTGACTGTATTATCATTTCTTTAAATGTATCTACATAATTGAACTGCCAATGTACATATATCAGTTCTCCTTTTTCATTATATGTCAGGCTTCTTTATGTAGACTTATGGAGCAGACAACATTTAATCAGTATTGTCATCGATTTCCGCTAGTGTGATTTATGCTTAATTAAAACATTGTACATTGGTCTGCATTTTACAAAAATCTTGCAACTCAATATATAATATGAAACCTTCGACTTTATACACGGATTTTTCTTATGTACAAGCAATTTACATTATGATCAATGTGAGAAACTAAGCTTGTTTTAACAACATGAAATTATTCTTCAGAAAATATATCTTTATGATATATGTCTATAATAATAACATAATATTGAGTTAGGAAAAAGGCTTTACAAGTTGGTAAAAATTTTTAGCAATCCATATATTCTATTTTTTTTAAATTAGACCGCTTGATAGAGGAACGATTCAGTTTTAAAAATCTGTATTTTTAATTGTGATACGATGATTTTTAACGGAATTACAAGCAATAAAGTCAGAATGTTCCTTTTTATTTAATCCGCGAGTAACTCAGGAACAAAAAAATCGTAGAAACATTTTTTAAAAACGATTTTTTAAAGAAAAGCTTCAAGCTTTCACTCAAAAATTTGCTCAAATTTTTTGGGCACGCTACAAAATGCTTTGGGCAGACCTACAAAATGAAAAGAAAATTTTTCATTTTTTTCAATTCGTTTTCTATATATAAAAATTACAAAATTCACATAAATTAAAAAAATATAATAATCATTCGAAAGTAGAGATTTAAAGCTTTGAAATTCTTTTTTTAAATTTCATTTAACGAAGATATTGATGGAGAAAGATTTTTTTTACCAACTTGTAAAGGGACTTTCCCTAACCCAATGTATTCACAAAGAAGACTTATTTTGTGCAGTTTGTTACGGTGCTAACTCAAAAACAACTAAATTTAATTTACAAATGGAACAATTGATTTAAAAAATATAGCTTGCATTTTGAATTACAGTTGATAATAAATTTATATTCGATAATATTAAAAAAAAACGATTATTTTCTTGCAACTCAAATTAGAGATTTGAAAAAATGTTTTTATTAGTCATTTTTTCGATAAATTTGTTGTTAGGATAAAAAACCTTCAATCTGTTAAAATATTTAGGCTGAACGATGATCATAATATGTATATATATAATATATGTATTTTAATTGAATGGTTCATGCGATATATTAAAATTCCTATATATACTTTCATGATAATATGACAATTACAGACAATACATAATATAATCTGCAAATATTGCGCGCGATGAAACGTGTTTTTGTAGTTTATAAATTTGTTTGAAGCAATAAAATATACTATAAGAATACACGACATGAAACTTCTCTTAATATTCAACAATAAGATATCCATTTTTTCTAAACTGTGATTAACAATTTGTTAAATATTCACATGACACACTTGGTGTGAATGCTTTTTACATAATATAACAAGATGTGTGTCTATATATTTTCTTCATAAGTCTTGATCTTTTACACATTAATGAAAAGATCAGCTCTTTACTTTTATATATAACAGATTAATGGATAATAAGATTGCATTGTGGCAATTCTACTTAGAAACGCTATACATTTTTATGTCGCGATAAAACGCGTGTAAAACATGTTGTGCTGTTTCCAAGTATATCAAGAAGACATACAAGTCGAAAGCATACAATTGATGGTATTTGCCTGAGAATCCTTATTATCATCTATAACTTCAATTGATTTATGTTTAATACTTGGGGCTCTTGGGGACAATATGTATAAAGGAATGCACAAACTCTTATGCACAGTTCCGAGCAATATTACAGTTTATACATCATTCTAATTTCATCAATTTAAAAAAATAACTATTTCTGAAAAAGGCTATGTGACAATTTTCTCCAATTGTAGCAAATTACGCGATTCGTAATTATTAAACGTAACAGCTACGGAAAAATCGAAAGAAGTTTTCTGGAAATGCAGTATTCTTTTTACATATTAATACAAGTGAGAAACTTGTACGCACCTGCCACTAGATTCCTGATGTAATAGAATTATATCATCTGGATAAATAAAAGGAAGTATGATGTTCAGGAGAAAAACGCAAATTAGACCTTACTATCAACCATATCCACGTTGATTTTGTAATAGACATAAGGGAAGTAATCATTTTGGCCAAAACCTAGTCCTGGTATATCCACATTCTATTCAAATTAAAATATCATATAAATATAAATATTTTCTGCATGAAGAAACATATATTCTTTGAGCTTGTATATATTTCTCGTATATAATAAATATTTTAAAAAATTGATTCAAAAGAGTAATATTTATTTACAAAAATGATGAGGAATAAAGTTTCAAAATTATAATTAAATATTAATCTACTTTTAATAATATATTAGGTGTTGGAATTAATTCGTAGCGTTTTTAATGAAAGAATGTTATTTCACATGAGCATTAAAAAATACATTAATGAAAGTACTTCCCATCACTTGTAAAACGCTACGAATTAATTCCAACACCTAATAGTATAGTAATTACATCTTTACTTACATCTTGATTGTGCGCTGTTGAAGCGGTAGCAGATGAATCTAAATGAGCATAAAGCTGATTCAAAGCGTCACGTAATCTCCTCGCGCATTTCTTATGCGGATGCAATAATATTGCTTGGAAATTGACAGGTAAGCCATATCTATAAATCATACATATTACAATATATGACATTAATATAACACCGTATTTTTTGTTTTTTTTTTTCGATAAAATATATTAATATGTACAGTACCTAAGAACGGATTCAACGAATACACGCAAAGCTTTAACATGAATCCAAGCACAAAAACATTCACTAAAATTCACTTTCAACCAACGGACAAGTGGTCCAAATTGCTTCTTTTTATCGGTTACCAACTTTGTAATTTCATTCTTTCCTATAATAAGATGTAATTGTTATAATAAATTTTATTCTTTATACATAGCTTAGCTTTTAAAGATTTAATATATCAAATTTGTGTTGATTTCTAAAGTATTACTGCAATCCCATGCAAATTATAAAAGATTTCAATATTAAAACAAATATTAAAACAAACCTGCTGCTAATTCCTCTTCATTATATGTAAAATCTCGCACAATAAACTTCTTTTCACGAGCGTGCAGTTTAAACTCATCCATTACTTTTTTAAATAAAGTGACCGTGAATAATCCGTATTCAGAATCCTGAGTAATGAGTTGTGTACTGCGTGGTACAATCATATCTGTCAATTTTTCATAACAACTGTACCATTCCTGAAAGTTGGATCTAAAAACATGAGATACACATAGATGCCAGTTTATTTAATTCAATGATCCAATATATGATAACTTTATAACAACTTTAGTATAGGTGTCAAAAGAAAACTAAATGTATTTACTCACTTCGGTACAATGACAAGCAAAGTAGTTAAATATTCGCTGTCCAGAATAAAGTGTTCTTTTTTTACTAAGTCTGCTAAATTTCGTGTTAATAAACTCCCCCTGATGCAGATAAAAAATTACATAAAAAATGACATTTATATAATTGTCGATTGCATTCAAATCATAATGTATCAAACTTACGTCTGTTTCTTTTCTAAATTTTGTAAGCTGCCTTTCAAATTGTTATATATCGTGGATTTAGTTTTTAAATCAGCATCAATCTGTCCCACTTGTTTACTGATAATATCCGCAATGTTCCTCAAAGATTGTTTGATGGGGTATTTAGCCATGTCCCACTGGAATCGAGTTATATATGATGGCAGATCACCTAGTGAATTTTAAATATTAATCCAATTGTTTTGAGACAATAAATCTTGATAAGCAATTTCATAGTCAGAGCTTTAGAAAATATTTCTACATTCTTCAGCGCATAATCAATACCAAGTGTAAGCTCTACAGGAATAGTAAATGTAAAATTTTTAAGAAATTCAATATTGATGTATTTCTTAAGCTCTGCATATATTATTAACATATACAAATGCTTGACATGTATTTTGTTGTTATAAATAAATTCAAACATTATTTAAAATAATATTAAAAGAATATTCAAAATAATGAAAAAAAGGAAAAATGATTTTCACACAAGCAATTTCTTGATTTTACAATGCTGCTTATTCATCATTAGCATTACAAGAAAGAAGCAGGACATACACAGAGTACATCATGCAATTCACAATAACCAAATCCATGAACAAACTTTATATTTATTTATATATAAGAAATTTTTTTACAAAGATATAATTATTTGATATTATTTACACAAAATTTTATCTTTATGTACGATATTTATAATGAAGAAATATATAATAAAGATAAATTGTAGCTATATAATAATAAAATTTTTAATTAATAATCTCTGCAATCAATAACTTTTATATTTGTATATATTTGTACATGCAGATCTTGAAAAATCGTATTTTCTTTTGCATTTATCACTTATTTATCTTATTAACTACATTGTAATTATGTACACAAAAATTTGTGCGTTGATTTAATCAGACAAGATAAATCCTCATTACACATGCACATGTATGCATTTATGTATATTAATTTTATAGAAAATATGATTAATTATATAATTTATTCTTTTTCGTAATTATCTGCATTATTTTCTTATATATTCTTGAATAAAGTTACGTTTTTGTTCATACATATTCAATCAATTTAAATAAATTATAGTATATATAATGCGTATATACATTTGCATTAAAAAAAGATGTTCATATACGTTTGAGAAAAAAAAGCATATATTAAATATAATAATATCTAAGTCATGAAATTTTTTGAAAATTTCGAAAATATTTTAACAGTATAAATTAATATACCTTTCTCTGCACATTTCCTCACAGGTATATATGTAGACTTTTATTACTAACATATATGATTAGCCATCGCAAATTAATGTGCAATGTAATGCAATATAATAAAATAAACGAAATAGCCGAAATAAAAGAAGCGATTTGTGATAATTGATTAAATGTATAAAATGATAATATACGTAATAGTACATTGTCTTAAATTAAATAGATATATAGTATATATGATATGGTTCCTGTAGTTCTTATACTATGTAAGAGCATAAAAATTATATACGAAAACTATAAAGCGCATTTGTTTCTTATTAAGTTTTATTTCAATAATCATGCAAAGTAATATTAGCTATAAATTCATGTACCGATCGATAAATATTTGTTAGTTCCTACTAATGCTATTGTTGTGCTAGTGCTGTGATCTGTGCTATCTACCATTGTTTTGTATATGTATTATCGTCTGTGCTTACAATGTGATTCTTTTACTAAAATTATAATTATTGAAGTGGGAATTAAAGATTGATATTAGAAAGAGGGAGAGGGGGGGGGGGAGAGAACAAAAATATAATTTAGGATGAAATGATTGGAGTAGAATAAAAATGTGTAAGATTTCTGGATATATTTAAGTGTCAAGTAATATTTCTCTCATCATTTCTCCTTTTTGTGTCGTTTACTTTCCTAGATTTATTTCAGTTGTATATATTATTAATAAAAGTTGCTATAATTTATGACAACAAAAGCGATATACGAAAGCTGTAGAAAAATAAAAAAGAGCAAAATTAGGAGAAAAAGCTAAATTATCTGATGGATAATTAGATATATACAATATACAAATCGATCCACCAAAAATGGGATATCGAGCTTTTATACGTTAATATAACGGTTATGTAAAATTGTAATATAATTATACATAACCAATATAGAGGAAGGAAGAGTGAAGACAAACGAGCCAAAAACCAAAGATATATCAGCAGAATTTCTTGAAGAAAATCAATTGTGAAAAAAAGATATGCACACTCACACATCATAATTAGGATGTGCTACGGAATGATGAATTTTCCTTTTAATAGCTTCCGGTTTATTAATTATTCATTAAATAAATTCAATTAGAAAATGTCTTTTATTATAACCTCAAAAAAGATGTATTGCTTTCATTTTAAATATATTTATCAAAAGAGAGATTGTCATATATTTTTGCCGCTTCCTTGCTATTAAAAGATTATAACGTTTTTTTTATATATTAATTATTTTTATTTATATAATCAAAATATATTACGCAATTAAGATAGTAATTTTATAATAATATTAAAATAAATCAGCAATAAATAGTTCCTCCTTATTAAAATGAGCAAATTAGAAAGATATTTTCATAAAAATTTTGCAATATGTATGTATATAGAGATATTGAGTCATCTAAAAAGTATCCGCGGTTTTTTGTCACTAGATGTGTGTTGATGGTCATATATCTAGTGACAAAGTACCGCGGATACTTTTTAGATGACCCAATATATAAAACGCAAAGTTGACATTTAAAGAAATAACTAGACTACAAGTGCGCTTGCATAATTCCTTCTTATTAAAATGAGCAAATTAGAAAGATATTTTCATAAAAATTTTACAATATGTATATAGAACAATATGTATATAGAAATATGTAAAACGCAAAGTTGACATTTAAAGAAATATTATAACTAGACTACAAATGCACTTGCATTGTATTTACTATATGATAGAATTTGACACTAAAATAAATAGTTTGTTTTCTCTGTCTATTTTATTTCCAGACTTTTTCAAATGTATTTTTACCATCCTGTAAATTATAATAGATATCTCTAATCTGACAATCTCTCTCCATTTTTTCAATTTTTCTGCATTTACTTCTCAAGAAAACATGATAATGATTCAGTCGCTAGATCGAGACACGTGGTGCACAGGATGAACAAAGCTTTGCAGCTATGTATCAAGAAGGAGAAGGACAAAAAGGAAAAGGATCTCGTATCGGCTGGCCAGTGGCAGGATGGGTACCTGGATTCGGCAAATTGCCACTATGGTCTTGGTCTTGGTCGTTGTTTTGGTCCGCATCGTCATCGTCGTCGTCGTCGTCATCATCACCTCCAACCGATTTGCGGGTAGATCGATCTTTCTCGGTGATGGTCCGCGGACGTAACGGCTGCTGCCACCCAAGCTCTCCTTCGCTGCTACAGTTCGATGAGAGGGAAGAGAGGGTCGGACTCGCGGGAGTGGGACTAGAACGTGGCGTCGAGGGTACAGAAGCAATGCACCAATGGGCATGGTAGCATGAATATATCGACGAGGTATAGCTGTTGGTCTGAGTTTTGACATCACAGATGCTCTGAAGATCGTACGATAGCTTCTTTTCAAACGCGGAGAAATGACCATCATGGTGATGTTTATGGGAGCTATGGTGATGATGGTGATGATGATGTTGGTGATGATGCTGACCTAAACAGGCGGCCGGCTCTGGTTCGGACTTGTCCAATTCCCTCCACTGCCTGTGATGCTCCATCGTAGTCTTGTGTGATGGTGTAACAGGAGTGTTTGGCGGGGTGTCCGGACCCCCTTCGGGGCTCGAGCTCTCCCCATCCATTGATGTTTGACCTATCCATTACAGCCCAGTCCCAATCTCCACGCGATCTTTTTTATTGTCTTGCTCAACTATTATTGTCTCCTACGCAAATGCCTAACGACAATGCTGACGAAACTGAATGAAAAATAACTCAAGAGAAGAAAGTGTGGAGTATTTAGCGCCGATCATCTTACTTTAATCAATTCGAGTGACGAAATTCAGATTTAAACTGTTGACTTCAGTTGGTAATTTAATATCAACTCGTCAAATTCGATTGATACTAAAATATATTAGGTGTTGGAATTAATTCGTAGCGTTTTTAATGAAAGAATGTTATTTATTTCACATGAGCATTAAAAAATACATTAATGAAAGTACTTCCCATCACTTGTAAAACGCTACGAATTAATTCCAACACCTAATATATAAAAATAAAAGTAGCAGTCTTTTCTAAAGTGATCATAATGATACAATGTTCAATAATAACATTACAAAACAATTTAATGCATCACTTTGAATACTCTTCTATAATATTTAAAATTTAATTACAAATTCATGTGTAAATTACATCATGTATACGATCGAAAGCTTTCTCCTTTGTATGAACAATCATAATTTCTATATATTAATTTAAACGTGTTCAGAAAAGAATTAAAAATACATAAATTTCTGGTTTAATATACATAAAATATAAAATATGATTTCTCGTATTAATCACCTTATTAAACGTTAAATACTCCAATATAATGCGAAAATAAAGTAGAAAAGACGAAGTAGAAAAACTAAGCAACAAAAGGAATATTCGAGAAAATATAATCGATAATATTCATAAAATGTATATACTGGAAAGTAAAGAAGTCATCGAGACTTGAAATTATATATTATATGGTGCATCGCAAACAGATAGTAATATGAAAGAAGGACTGATGACAGAACCAAGGAAAATGAAATCTTGTAGTGGCTAATTAGAGCTTGGTGACCACAGTAACCCAAGCAACTTCTTGCGTCCTGCGGAAAATTTTATTTGACACGCGTGGTGGTCTAGTAATTCCACAGATCTGTCCATATTTTATTTCGTTTGTCTTTTATGTGTGATCTTATATATTATTCGTGTCTCGAGACGCATCTTTTTTTCCTTTATACCTTAATACAAACTTTGCGTAGTGCATATATACGGGCATTTATTAATAAAATAATAAAAAGGGTGGGGAAACAGGGTTAATGTGGTCAAAGTTAAATAAAAGGTAAGCCAAGCAACATCACAAATTTAGAAATAAGATTGTCATAGATAATAAACGAAAACAACCAAACACATAAATAAGCATTCTACGAATATATCAACTATGTACTAATATATGAAGCATATCACATACATAAGTAGCTTATAATTAAATATATAAGTACATTAAAATATATATTAGTATTCATTATTTTAAAAAATATATTGCAGATCATTTTACTTTAATTATGTAATTATTTTATATTATATATAAATAGATAATATAAAAAAGATTTAAAACAATTATTTTCAATTTATGATATGCATCATATATGTATATATATGTTAATACATATATATACTACAGGAAAATTTTGTCTGTATTCACCTAGTTAAACTATTAAAACATGCAAAATGTTCTAACATTATGCAACATATCATTTTTTGTACGTACTGACTATGCACACAGACAAAATTGTTATTTCATTCTATCAAATTACATGGGGCATTATGGGGAAAAATAGGGATTATACTTCTCTAAATATAAACTTATTATTATCTCCAAAAAATCAAGTAAAATCTGGAGTAATTATAACTGATATATATCAAAGATCATTGATAAAAAAGGTAACTCGAAGTAGTGTGCATGTTTCGTGTCGTGTATGGTATTCATTGGTGCGTTAATTATCAACAGACTGTATTCTAAGTTTGAGCGTTATAAGAAAATGATGCATAGACAATCGATCGATACCTGTTGGCAAGGGTCCAAAATACTTTATAACAATAATAATCCGTAAAATTGCTTCTATGTTCCATTTGATCAAATCACAGATGACATACGCAATGCACACTTATCCAAACAGTATTGGACAGTGCGGATTGCAATATTCTATAAATTCGTATTTTTTAATATAGCGTATATACTGTTTTCTATTCTCTATCGAGATAGAGAAAATATAAGTTTAAACTATTAAAATAATGAATGTGTAATATTTCATAATATTTACTCACAAATGGAATTGATAGTCTTTCATACATTATTAATTAGATTGAATATTGTTTAATAATCAAGATAAATATATAATTAATGGAATAGAAGAATATAAATGCAGATAACGGTTTGGACCCCTGGATAAATAAATTGATCCTCCATCATATGGAAAATATTGTCGAAAGAATATAAAGGCCCAAAAGATAACGAGGTATTTCTACTACTTACTATTGTTGGCCATCAGATTCTCGTGTAGCTTGTCCCTCTGGTCCTCCAGAACCTCACCCAAATACGTCGCCACTTTGCGCGTTACTTGCTCCACGTATCCATCAAGTTTGCCTAGGTCGTCCGACAAACCAACCAATTGATCCAACGTTCCAACCTTCAGATCCGGGATGTGAAATTTGTAGTTCACTGATAGAGAGTGCTGTTTGGATGTTAAATTGTTCATAGTTTCCCATGTCTGCTGACAGGTTTTGTCTCCCGGCGCGGAAATCAGCCAATATTCCGTCATCATGAATGAGTGTGTTTTGCTACTGAAGTTCTAATAAACCTGAAATAGTAACATTGTGACATCAGTTAATTTAAAATTCTTAAATGACCTTGTTTCCAAATATAAACAAATTACAAAAAAATTTTTTTTAAGTGTTTACATGTAATTACTTAATTGCTTGTTTTTCATGAAAAATTAGATAAGAGACCTGTTCCTTTTAATTAAACTTTTTGCACGAGTCATCTTTTCTCTTTTTTTCCTGAGGAAAAGAAAAAAAATAAATTAAGAAAAATAAAGAACAAAGCTAAGTATACATTAAAGTATGATATATTAAATATTATAAAAAATAATTTTACTCTCAAAAATCGCCTTTTTATATCACTTTTAAGTGTTGCGTGCAATAAATATAACTAATCATTTTACAATTTCGATAAATGTAAAGGGTTGATTTATTCCAGACAACCACCTGCTGCCATCCTGTCATGCATCGAATCGGATGCACATCTGCGTCGCTTGCATTTGCACAGCAGATAGTGGTCGAGGTAGAGAGCCGAGGAAAGACGACCCATAGACGACCCGAGCGATCGTCGGATGGAAGTCTTTCGTCTGAATTAAATTCGCGGGAATTTGCGGATAGCCGCACGGAAGGGGGTGTGGCAGGAGCGTCCGCTTGTTATGTAATTAGGCGTCTTTTCCACGTGACTGTACGTACGAACGGTCCGCGGTACAGCCGATCAATATCGAGAGAATTAAGAACGAAAGAGAGACAGAGAGACAGAAAAAAAAAGGAAACTATCCGCGACGGGTAGTGGTGTCAAAGAACGGCGTGTCCTTGGACGAGATTTCTAAACGAGATCTTTGGAGAAACACACGAATGAATCCCGTGACGGGAGAGAAAGAAAAACAGCCATCGTCACCAATCCAATGGCGTCGGCGGACCTCGAGCCGTTCTCTCAAAGGGATCGATAACGCGCGATGCGTTGGCGGCGGGCGCGGAAAAGCATGAATGTACGACGCGAATCGGAATCGAGAATTATACGCGGGGAATCGCGCGCCGAGAATCTTTGTGGATCGTTTTCGACGACGTCGATTAATCCGTGACATTTCGCCTCGGGAACGAGATCGGCAGGCGCGTGTCCGCGCGTGCGTCTCGTCGAGATGAATGTAACCACCAGCCACGTACCAGCGGGAGATAGTTAAGCCTCCTCCTCGTCGTTATCGTCGTTGATGTTGCACGGTCGGTCGCCAGGTCGGCTTTCCACCGAGGAGACTTCAGAGAATTTCGCAGGCTGGACGACGCTGTTCGCCGACGACAGGACCATCAGAGACCATTGTGACCGCTCACGTGATGACAGATTGCGTGCTGCTGCCCTGCGACCCGCCCGACAACTAAAGCCGCCGCGGCCCCGCAACCCGCAACGCCGTGCCGTCAGCTGACGGCATACAAGAAAGTGATTTTAAGAGAGCGATTGGCAGCACTATCGTTGCGTGTGATGACGATGACGCGTTAGTACGCCGCCATTTCTTTACGATCTGTTCTTACGATCGCGTCGCTTCGTAATACTCTGTTGTGTTTTAGAGTATTCCATTCATCCTATTCTTATCCATTCTTGTCTTTCGTTGGAATCGAGAGAGGAAGAGGAAAGTATTTACATAATATATTGAAATATTTGTGAAGCGTCGTCATGGGTTGCGATGGTGGCACTATTCCTCGCAGAGACGAGCTTGTAAGGGTGAAAAGGAAACCGGAACAGGTAATTTGGAAAGTCTAATAATAATCTCGCTTAGAGAAGTTCGATTTTTTTCTATTGAAATTTCTGTCAGAATCTTGAATATTAAAGATTCGTTCGCGTCGCTTGCTCAACATGTTTCAATGTACTCCTATCATAGCTTCTATTCACTCCAACGCGCGCGCGCGCGCGCGCGCGCGTTGGAGTGAATAGGATCAGAGAGAAATCTTTCTAAAAGGATCTATGGTAGGAGCATATCGGAATATGGGACACGAACAAACCTATTCTATAATGTGCTCTTTGTTTTCTGTTTCTTGTTTTTACCTTTTGCCTTTTTCTTCCTTTGCAACCGTTTTATCAACAATTGTATTTTTTGCTACGTATTTCTTGTTTCTTTCGAAGTTGTTAATTTTTATCTCGGGCGATATAAAACAAAAAAAACCGGATAAGAAGCAAAAAGATGAGATGTAAAAAATAACAAAAGACAAGAAACAGGAAACAAAAAGCATATTATAGAACAGGTTTAAGAATCATTGCTTTCAATAGGTTTGTTTTTTTTAATGTATTTAATATTTATCGAAACGACAAGAAAAGTTCTTGTTCAATAAAAAAAAACCTCATACAATATTACTCTCGGTTTTTTATTCTTTTATTCTGCAATCTCGAGCTGATTTTATTCTCTTCATAATCTCTTTAAATTATTTTCAATGTAAGTTACTTTAAAAGGAAATGTCTAATTATTTATTTTCTATATATTATTATTCATGTTACATATCTAAATGTGTGTGTATATATCTATTAACAGAAAGACAAAGAAGCAGAATTAGCTTTTAAATGGAAGCACTGTACAATACGGCAATTACCACTGCAATCACCGATCGTGAGTTGTGGCTTAGGTCGCCTGTACAGTAAAGAAGCTGTGTTGGAAGGTCTTTTGGATCGAAATACCCTTCCAGAATCTGCAGTACATATTAAGAACTTGAAGGATGTAAGGAATCTCAATTTAACACCAAATCCAGCATTTGATGGTGATAAAGCTGAGAAAGGAGACCGTTACAACGATGGAGGCAAAAGTCCATTTATTTGTCCAGTCATTGGTTTGGAAATGAATGGAAAATATAAATTCTGTTTCTTATGGTCATGCGGCTGTGTAATGAGTGAACGTGCCCTCAAAGAAGTAAAGAGTACAGTAAGTAAAAATATTCAATTATATAACGAAAATAAATAATAAATACTGAAAGTTTTACGACAAGAAAATATTAAATTGCACAATTTAATTTAATTATAGTCGAATGTTATATCTTAACTTTTTTAACTTATTATTTGTGCGATCTTTATATAACCGATTCTTACATGTCCTTTCTATTATTTACATTGTTAATTAAATTTCACAGTCGTGTCACAAATGTCAGCAACCATTTGAAGAGACGGACATAGTCATATTAAACGCAGAAGGAGACGACGTGGACCTCATGATGAAGCGAGCGGTGCTTAGAAAAACTAGTCAAAAGAAGTCAAAGAAGAAGAAATTAGAGGATGATGTCTCAACAGAAGAAAAGAAGACGGATGAAGTGTCGAAGAAAAAGATGAAAAAGGAGGATAAAACAATTCCTAAATTGAACAATAATCATAAGGAGGCCGATGATCCTGCTTATAAAAAAGCTAAAAGTGATTACAGCGTTGCGAAAGATCCCAAAGCGTCGGAAGTTTTCAAAAGCATTTTTACTACTCATAAATCTGCAACAAAACAAGACAGAGCGCACTGGGTTACTTATAATCCATTTTATAATTAATGTATATATAAAGCAGTTAATATGTTCTTAGAAAGAAAATGTAAAAAACGATTTACATTATAATTTTGTGATTTAGTTCGAATCAGTATTTGCGAATTCAATGAATCCGGACATTTTCTCAATTACGTTTTGAAAAATTTTTTATAACAAATATTTTTCATGACTTTACATATTTTCATTTACATAATGTTATTCTTCAAATGTTTTGTTCTTTAAAATGAAAAAAAAACTGTTCTATTATGCTAACGTTAAATAGATACATTAATATATTATATATATTAAGAAAGTTGCAGAGCGAATACTGATTAGAAGAGGGGGGGGGAGGGGATTAAAGCTTTAAAATATATATAATAAGCGAAGTACAATTTAATATTATTTGTTATCTCATTAGTTTAAGAAAGCCAATAAATAACGTTTTTTGTAATTATGTGTAATTTTTTTATATCAAAATAATTTACATAATCTACAAATTCACGTTGTATGTTTTAAAGGCACATAGTCTAATTTGTATACAAATTTCTTGGAATTATATTCTTGAAATATATATTCCAATTATTTAAAAAATTATATTGACTATGTGTGTTTCAAATACAATACATAATTCTTGCAAAGTTATCAAATTACATTTGTATAGGTATCCTACGCACAACTAATGCTCGAATAGCTCCAAATATTCTCAGTATAGCACGTTTCCTGCGCGAATATCTGTTCAATCCCAAATAACTGCACAAATACACGACAACTGTCACTATAATAACTATCACTATTACGTAACTCCATTGGTGTACAATCACATATTCTTCTTGAATTTCTTTCGCGTCATAAGCCGTAATATCAGTGTCGAGATGTTGCAATGTAGAGATACCAGCACCACCAACTCGTCGCTTAAGCCAAAAAGTGTCCGTATCTTGCATTACTGAATTTGCTGCGCTCATAGTATTTCCTACAGAAACCATCTTCTGAGATCTGTAAAGTTCTCTGTGAAAAAAATTAAAAAAAAAATATTCAAGATATTCGCAAAAATCTAGAAATAATTAGTAATGATAGAATAAGTATAGTATAATCTGCTTGAATACTTGAACCTTTAGACTGCTGGGAAAGCCACTTTTGTAGCTCGAGTTTGAATTAAAATACTATACTAGTAGCGCTTCGTATTTAAAGTAGTAGTATTTTAATTCAAACTCGAGCTACAAAAGTGACTTTTCGTACTTAAAGTAGTAATATTTTAATTCAAACTCGAGCTACAAAAGTGGTTTTTGGTATACCCCCAAATTTCTCAAATTAATCTTAAAAAATATTTTTCGCAATAAATTTATTACAGTTTTTTAAGATTAATTTGGGAAATTTGAGGGGATTATTAATATTTCAGATTGATTGCGTTGAAAGTCCGACAACTATATCGGCACATAATTATCATTTCTGAAATTAATTCATTTATATGAATATATATATATTAGTTTAACATCTCAACACTCAGACCGTAGTAGCGTTTCGTATTTAAAGTAATGTTATTTAACATAAACGATCTTGATTCCAATCTTATTGTAAAATACTACTACTTTTATTAAATGTATTAAACATATATGTGTGTATGTATTAAAAAATAAAAATTATAAAATAAGAAAAAAGTAAAAAAAAAATAAAAAATTCAAAAACCAAAAAAACAATCAAAAAGGAGCTACAAACTTTCTACGTCCACGTCGTTAGCTCTGGGTAATGCTAAAGGAAAGTTCTGAGTCTATACGTTTATATTCATTGTTAATATTGCGTTTAAGACTCGAAATTTTATAAATCTATGCTTAGAATTGAAATCAGCGATTCCAAAAACACACCCTCAAAATACACTATTTTTAAAAAAATAAACATTTTTTTATATTTGATCATATGTTCTCGGTCGGAAAAGCCACTTTTGTGGCTCTGTATAAATCTCGAAATTTTGCGCTATGTGTATGTCATTTAGCAAAATTTTTGAGAAAAAAGAATCACTATTTAAAAAAAATTCCAGCTGTCTAAAGATTAAATAAGAGCGATCTATTTTTAGTTGTAGCCTCTAATTTTTTATTCTTTCAGCTACAATTATAAAGTAAGTGGAATACAATTTAAAAATATTTTCTTCTAGCATTTACTTTTCAGATATAGGAACAAGAAAAAAATTGAACAAATTTATAAAATGTATCTGGAATTGAAATAATATTTATATATGCATGTGAAATTACTTACATTGGCACAGATTCATTGACTGGTACAGGAACGGCATAGATAGGAGTGGTACATAACGGAAGAGATCTAAAACTACCTGCTGGTTCGTTAGTTATTAATACTTTACTATGACGACTAAAATGATTTTCCTTCATTCGATATGGTAATTCTCCAATCTCTATATTACTGGTCGTTTTAACAGTCTTGTGCTTTTTCTGATTTTCATCCATAAAAACAGTAGGTACGTACCCTGTTGTTGTATATTCTAAAATAGCGTCGAGCATCCAAAAACAGGCTAAATATGAATAATAATATTATTTCAATAAATAATATCCAATGAAATTGTACAATTCAGAGTGTTTCAAGAAATAGAAAATTTTTAATGATTTCTAAGGTAAAATATTTATCAGTATTTACAATATTTTGTTATTAATATTTTTTTTGTAATACATACATTTTTGTAAATGACTGTCATCAATACAATTTGAATCTCCATAAACAACGAGTCTACCGGACGTACTCGTCTGATCTTTGACATTTTTTTCACCATTTTGATCTGCTTGTATTTCATTATGAAATTTAACATTAAATGCCACTTCAACATCATTCTCATTCGTCACTTGTAAAAGTCCGAGTATTGGTACAAGTGTAGATATTCCTGATTTTTTTTCCAGAAGTTCTTGACCCTGATCATATAAATCTGCATACAAAACGATTCCATCCTTTGGAAATCTGAATAAATATAAAAAAATGTGCTGTATATAATCTAAACTAGTTTTTCTACGTACAAAATATTTTACCTGGTTAATGTAGTGCCAGACGCAAATATGACTGGTGCGTGCTGGCCAAGGGTGAATTGACCGTTTCGTACTTCGTCGCTAAATGCCACACCCCAATTAGGATAAAGTAGATCGTTTATCGCTGGAATATTGGCACCTCCGGTTTCAGGTATCCACCATCGATGAGTATTCTGATCGTAAAACTTAATTTCTCGCATGACTGCTACATTGTACCAGTCTGCAAATACAATTACTGATAGACCATTCTCTTCCACATCTCGTTTTAATTTTGTCACCTGCAATTGAAACCATTTCACGTCAGCATATAAATGAGCACATAGAAAGTACATAATCTTATAAAACACAAATGTATACTTCTTCAGGAAAAAATTCCTCCTCTGTATCTACAATAAGCAGAGTTCCATAATTTCTCGCATCAAAACAAGTAAATGGATGACCAAGCACTTCAAGATAATATCCGGTATTACGTAAATGTTGATACATGTCTTTAAAATTAGTATGTATATGATCTCCGTTCCAGTCGAGAGGGTTGTTTTTTACGCGTAAATCATCTCTAGGGAAATATCCGGGTGGATATCGCAAATTATGGTACTGATCCCACAAGATACGTTTACTGAAGAGATAATAAGAGATATAGATAATTTATTAAATATCCTTGCGAATATATTTTTCGGTACATCACGTTCAAAAATATTAATTTTACTCACTGTCTAGGAGGTGTAGGTATAATTTTTGCCTGCAATGGGAGCATTACAGTTGATTGCCGTGATTTACCTGCGCCATCGCTCTCAACCGTGAGTGAAATATAACCTGTATAGAAATGCAATCTGCTATTAATAAATATCAATTTACCATAAAAATGAAATTAATATTTAAACCTTGAGCAATGCCCTGCCAGTCGTGAGACGTTAAAGGGACTGTTATAGCGACTGCTAACCAGCCAGACCATGGCCACAAGACATCACTATATGTTATCGCCACATCAATATGTTCACCATTGCCGGTACCAGTATATGGATGCCAGGTAAGATTTACTATATTTCCAGCCACACCCAAACCATTTATTATAGTTACATTGACTATTGTTGGCATACCAGTATGATATATAGCTTGAGTACAGTACGGCCACATATACTGACATTCCGTCAAATCTATGTAGCTAGTTAACAAAAGCAAAAAACTGATTATTGCATTGTGTAATCAAAACTTTATCGATATTGCCTATTTATTTTATCTGATTATTTTATCATTTAATATACGCGATTATTATAGCATTATATGTGTATAAATAATATTTATAATTAGTGAATCAACAGAATTAATTAATTAAACAAATATCAATAGCAAATAAAAAACAAAAAAAATTACATTATCGTATAGTAATGTTTTCTCATTATTTATAAAGAAAAACTTACCTTGGATGAAGTGTAACGATAGGAATATATGACTGTAAAAAATGAAATGCCCGCAAAAGATCTAATTTTCCTGCACCTTGTTCAAACATACTAATTCCAGGTAAGCGACGGGCTGAATTTATTAACGCTTGTTTCATACTTGCCGGTGTTACCTTAAAAATATTTATTATTATTTATTATATATAAACACAAAATGCAATAGAAATTAGTTTTTTACAATATTCACTCTCTGCACAATATTCAATGATATTTGTATTGATGCATAAGTATAAAAAATCGTAATTACCTTTTCTTTATTAGTTTTAGATCCATTTATTTCTATAAATGCACTAGCTAATAACGCAACTGCACCAGCAACAACAGGACTAGCAACAGAGGTACCAGAAAGACTTCTACATCCGCTCTGTAAAGCAGATACTCTTACTCCTGATCCATATGTGACTAGGTCAGGTTTGATTCTACCATATCCATAAGGCAATTCCCAAGTAGTCATACCGCGCGAAGAAAACCTTGCTATTTGATCATCCCAATTGATACCTCCTACACCAATTACATCCATTTGATCGGCAGGATTACTTAAAGTGCTGTGCAAATAAAATGTGATATACAAATTAATCATACTCATAGTTTTTCTAAATACATAAGAAATCGAAAAAACATAACTCAAACTTAAATACAAAATAACTGAAATCTAAATCTTGATGAAACTGATTACTTTGAAGATAGAGAAGCGATTTCAGATTTTGATATTTTATATACCCATATAAAGGTCCGTCATTGCCAATTGCCGATACCATAATAATACCATTAGCTGTAACCTCCCATACTTTATCGACAAATGGTTGATCCATAAAATCTGGACTACCAATGCTCAGATTTAACACTGTTATCTTGCGAAGTATAGCATGATTGAATGCATCCAAGAACCACGAGGTATAAGACACCTATTATGTTTCAGATACAAATTCTTTTAAGTCAAATTTAAGTGTAAAATTACAAATAGGAAAGAAGCATGAAGGACAGAGGTACCTGATCGTTTGTAAAAACACGGAAAATATAAAGATCTGCGTCTGGAGCAAAACCAAAACAGTCTTTTGAGGATGACGCAATAACACCAGCTACAAATGTCCCGTGGCCTAGGCCATCCTCCCTAGTGTTCTCATTCGTCCAATTTATTCTTTCTTTGATATTTTTGAAATGTGGATGACTAGCAGCAAGTCCAGTGTCAAATATCGCTACTTTTATATCTTTTCCAGTAATGCCCATTTTCCATAATACATCAGCTTCGAGCATATAAGTAATTTGCTTCGGTATAGCTCTTAATAACTTTCGAGATGTATGTCGATTTGTCGATTGTCCAGACTGAACATTCTGAAATTAAGTTTTTCCTTAACAACATTAGATATATGATTTAATATAAAAAATTTAGACGCACATAGTTATCTTATTTTTATACATTTCAAAATTTGCAAACTTACATTGATTCTTCTTTCGAAGTTTCCATATTCTAAGACATCAGAATCATTTGATGTTGTATTGATAAATTTTAAAGTTCTATGTATAAGTCTCTGCGATGACACAGTCTTTATAAGTGGATGATTATTTAAAGCTCTGAGTCCTTTGTATTTATCTGTTTCTTGTAAACATACAATATCAAAATCACTAGGATATATGGATACTGCATTGTTATGCGGTATGATTTTCCAGTTCTTAATATTAGACGAATTTAACACGGCTCTTATATAATTCTCTCGTGCATGTGCTTTATAATAACCATTAAATTTGATTATATACTCATTTTCGACTATACTAGAAGAGAAGGTAACTTGAACTTCTTCATCATGAGCATCATGACAGGAGTTTGAAGAGACAGATGTTTCATGCAGTGAAAATTTTGTATTACAATCACTATTGTCATGTTCTTCAGAGCTGTTTAAGTTAAAGTGATTATTGCTTGACCCATGAGAAATGCAGAGCAAAAGTAACAAGGAGATGTATAGCAAACATGTGTGCAGCTTCATACTATTAATTCTGCCTGAGAACTATGCTTCATACTTAGCCAAAGTTATAGCAGATATTAAGATTTCGTGAAAATATTTATAAATGATAACATGAGCACCTTATCCTTTTATAATATAGGTCATTCAATCAGCATTCTTTCAATATTCACTTTCAATATTCATCATTTCAGTAATCATAAAGAGTTAATGATTTATAATTGATTCGTGATGAAGCTTGAAATCAACTCTTTAGATCAATTAACGATAGTTCAAGTAATCCGAAATTATCCTGAAATCAGCCATGAACGAGTGCTCGATCTTTTTAATAACATTCTTCACGTTTTAACCTCAAAAGCTTCTGCGGGAAAATATTTTAAATCATTTTAAATGATTTTTCAAAGCGCATTTTAATTGCGAACTATTTTACGTCGTTACGAGAATGAATAATATCGCATTGACATAAATAATTTACAGTTCGAACACAGTTTGTTAATAAACTAAATGTGTACATAACTGTATGAGTGTATGAATGAATAATAACACAACATGTGCAAAAAAAAATACGAGAGAGAGAGAGAGAGAAAGAGAGAGAGAGGGGGAGAGGGGGAGAGAGAGAGAGAGAGAGAGAGAGAGAGAGAAGAGAGATAGAAAAAAAGGAAGAAATTATGAAAATCTTTGTTTATAATTTTGTAGATATAACAAAAGCCAATATTTTATCTCATTTTATTTAGAATACTATTTTATTCGTAAAATAACTATACATACTGTATTTCAAGCACCATATTAATTTAATACATACTAGATTCAATTAATTTTCTCTAATATATTTTTAATTTATAAATTGTAGTTATCCTTTTTTTTTATAAAAAAAATTAATATTACATTAAAAAATATCATTTACAATATCTATATTTAAAAATTAAAAAATTTACAATATCTCATTTACAATATCTATATTTAAAAATATAGCCAAATTAACGTTGGTAACATTGATTTTGTCAGATGTAAGTTGACACTGCTACTGTTTTGACACACATAACACATGACACATGTCATAAACATGACATTTCAGGTCTGTTCGCGTTGCTTGCACTTTTTGCACTAAAAAATATTTTTTACGCCAATGCCTGTATCGCCTCGCAGATTGGTAGCTGCTTTCACTACTTGATGGAAGGTCTTTTCTTCCTGAAGAGAAAAGAAAAAAGATGAACTAATGCAAAATTCAGCCAAAAAGTGCCAAAAAGAATAAGCCTCTAGTTCAGGTTCAAATTGGACACAGTAAGCAACAAGCAGCGGAAATCAGCAACCAATCAGCAAGGCGATATTTTTTACGCCATTGTGAATATCACCTCATTGATTGGCTGCTCCGCTGCTGACGCTTTTAATCTGAACTGGGCATAAGTTTCTCTCTTATCTTGTTATTATTAACGCTTTGGCGGCAAAAGCCGCAATTGTCTAGGCAGTAAAGCCGCAGTCGCAATTGGTCGCAGTTTGTCAATTGCGTCGAATATTTAGAAATATGTGAAATTTGTGTAACATTTTGTATTATTTTTTTGTTAAGTGTTATTATTATAAAGTGAATATTTATGGAATATTTGCTTGCTTATACATTGTTTGTGTAATTATTTAAATGGTGAAAGTGAATTGGTGAAGGTTTATACGGAGAAGTCTTGCCGATGTGATTAAACATTAATTACTTGAAAAATTAATTTTTATTGTTAATAACAATGGATTTCTCAGCTACGCAAGTTTATGAGGATGAAGATAATTTATTTACTGACTCACATGCATTAACGGAGGAAGAATCAGTACAGGTTAAGTATAGTCAAATATGTTTTTTAATAGTAAAATGTAAAGTTGAAGAGAGAGAAAGACAGGAGAAAGGGGGGAGGGGAGAAAGAGAGAGAGAGATTATACTTGATTGTATTTTATTATAATGAATTTATAATATTATATTCGTTATCTTAAATCTTAAATCTTTTTTATGTCTTAATATTTGATATTTTCTAATATTTTATTTTATAAATAATACTTAATGCATAACGATTTAATAAAAGTTATATATTTTATTAAAAAATTTAGGTTGGAACGTTAAGCATTAATTCCACTGACTACCAGATTAAAACAGGAATTACAAAAATTGGTAGACTTGATATCTGCAACATTGTTATTCGAAATGAGGTAAGTTTCAGCATATTTTTTATTATTTTTATAAGAAATTAGTTGAGGATAATTTTTATAAATTAGTTTTTTTTATAACTTGAAAAATATTCCTTCAATTTTATAAGAACTTGCTACAAATTGATGTATAATATTATATCCAAATAAAGCTTGAATATAATTTGAATAAAATGTTCAGTTTTTTCCTTGATATTATTATATCCTTGATATTATAAACCTCTATTGGTTTTGATTATGATAGATTGAATCACCTTTTTTTTATTTTTTTTGTACATAGTAAAATAGTAATGAACAAGCATTTTTGATACCAAATACTAACAAAAGTTTGTAATATTTTTTCAGACTGTGTCAAAACTACATGCAGAAATTGAAGCTAGCGGTCGAGGATCAACCTGGATTTGTGATCTAAAATCTCTCAACAAAACAAAGCTTAATAATGTAATCACTATATATCTTAATTGTTAATAACTATATCGATGAAACTTTGAATTATTTCATCATTTTAATATGCGAGCTATGTCATATAATCTCACATTGCATATGTAGACATATAACTAATTGATAGAGAAAGAATTATTTTTAATAAACTACATATGTGACACATGCGTATACACATATAAATATCTTAATGATTTATTTAAAATGACGCGACAGAAACATTGTGATATTTTTTTAAACTGAATTAATAGAATTTTTTCTTATTTTTATAGTTAATACTACGACCCAATCGTTCGTATGAACTTAAGGATGGAAGTGTTATTGAATTCGGAGGAGTACGTGCAACTTATCATATAAACTGTCCAGCTAATGACGAAGTAATACCAGAAACACCTGCACCATCGCGACAGAAAACTGCGAATATAATAATTCCTAATACGCCAGATTCATCACTCGTAAGTGCTTTACTCGCGATTAGCATATATAATATTTGTTACGGGCATGTACAGGATTGGCCATATTCGACGAAAAGATGTTTTTTTTTTCAATCATGGGAAACGTCGTTACTCGATCTAACATCTCTTTCCCATGATTGAAAAAAAAAACATCTTTCCGTCGAATATGGCCAACCCTGTATATTTATTATTAATTAGCATTTATTAGCATTATTAGCATTTATTACTATAATATTTATTTCCTATTGATTGTATAATATTGGTGTTAATTGAACTAAAATTAGGAATATATTCATTTGCAGAATAATTCATCCAGTGTGGACAACGATGGATCTATTATTTTTGGAACTCAGAAAGATGATGAGACTCGCAATGTCTTTCGACGACCGCGAGTTCCGCAACAAAGTCCATCTCCAAGTATTAATAAAAAGAATACTTCCAAAAATGAGAGCAATGACTCGCTAAGTATTGCATTGCACACGTCTGATATTATTGTTAGCGAGAATCAAGTTAGTATATATGAAGCAGAGACGCAAAAGTTTGATGAAGGATGTAAAACGACATTAAATTCCATTTATGATATGGAAACACAAGGTGATCTTATTGATATATCCAAGCATGTTAAAACGAATGCTAAAAATGGCAAGCAGCTGCCAAAACTAAATATTTGCGATAAAACAGCTGGTAAATCTGTAACAGATATCCACGATATAGAAATTCAGAATTGTCTAGACAATATTAATGAAATGGAAAAGGATAATATTAGTATTCGAAATGTAACGGCGAAGAAGTTTACGACGGATATTCATACTATGGAAACACAAGCTGATACTGACAACATTGATGAAGATAGCAGCGATGCTCAGAATTCTGAGCATGAAATCGATAAGGGTAACAGTCAAGAGAAAAATTTAGCTAAAATCGGGCGCAGTATTCACGATTTAGAGACACAAAAGTTTGATGATAACTATATTGCGAAAAATATATCTGATTTGGAAACTCAACTT